CACAGTCACCAGTCTCTGGCAGCACAGGATACACCCACCCGCAAGTGCACTTGCCACCCACACGACCACCAACCTTGCCGAAAGCTGGCCCGGCCACATCTGCCCTCCACATACCACACACACGAAGAGACTCTCCGGCACCCACTTACGCTCAGAAGTCTTTCTCAGTGTTGGCCGTGTGTGTGAAAAAACTCTGATTTACCCACATTTACACAAGTGCTGACAGAGACCCTCTAAGAAAGCCTCCAAGCACATGCACATCGGCCCTTCCAGCACCTGTGCCTGCTCCAGTATAGACCCCAAGTCATACAAACTCACATGGCTCTTGGCACCCCCTGTACTGTTCTCACTCTGAACAGCCCCCCCCACACACACACACACACACATATCTGGATGCAATCCAAAACCTCAGGGAAAGAATAGTCAGGAATTCCCCTGGCTGTGGACACACTGGAGGACCCATGGCCGGAAGTACACCAAGAGGAACACACCCAAAGCTCCAAGCAGCAAGTGGCTCTTGTCTGATGACCAGAAGAGGAAGGTGGCCATAAAGTACCAACACTCCCTCCCACCAGCATCCTCATTGCAAATACCCTGTCCACCCCCAGGAAGATTCTTGGCTCCCTGGAGAGGGAGATCAGGAGAACAGGGAAGGAGAGAGAAGCAGAGTTCCCCTGGAGGGAGGCTCAGCTTGAATGGCCCCATCTGGCCCGCAAAACCCTGGGGCCCTGCGTAGACTGGGAGAAGAATAGAGACGTCCCCACCCACTTTTCCCCCAGAAAAGATCTGCCTCCTGCACTGACAGCAAGAGGGAAGGAGATGGGCCTTCTCCTCCGGAAGAGCCGGAGTTGGACCCCATTGCCCCAAGCACCCAGGTCCTATAGCTTCCATGATCAAACCTTTGAACCGAGTCCCACCCACCCCCGTAACCACTTCCAGATCCTCCGGATTCAGCCAAGAAATTGGCTGCTTTGGGGATTGAGTTCATAAGGAAATGCTGAAAAAATAAATAAAAATCCACTGCCAAATGCACTCAGAGGAAGATGGGTTTCTCTTGAGGCAGGAAATCCATCAGGATAGACTAAAGCAAATGGTGGACAACACCCACTGGCCCAGAGAGGCCCGGGTGCCTGCCAGCACCCGAGACCTTCAACCAGACCACATCTCTTCCTCCCCTACCCCCACCCCTAAAATGTCTTTCTTAGATGAAGCTGCTGAGGATGAGATTCTGCCAAAGACACATCCAAATGGTTTGCAATGGATGAACCCCCATCTGGGACCCCAGGAGGGTTAGCAGGGACCATGAAAGGCACAAATGATTCTCTTTTCCTCCTGCCCAGAGCAGCCAAGAGCTCCTGGGTCATGTAGCATGTGAAGCTCACCCTCTCTCCCTTATCTTCCCACAGCCTACCAGCCTCCCGCTCCTCCAACACAAACTGGCTTCCATCGCTACCAGTTCTTTGTCTATCTTCAGAAAGGGAGGACCATCTCTCTCCTTCCAGGAGAAAACAAAACCCGAGGTAAGGCCTTCCCATCCTTCAAGGCCAGGGTGAATTCTGGGGTGGTTCAGATGCTTCGTGCACTCATGAGGAAGTAAGGACCTTGACCCCTTACCCATGAGCCTGGAAGGCTAAGGTCGAAGAATGGTGTTTCTTAGAAGTAAACTGGAATGCGTGTCCTAAGGGAGATGTTGGCATCAGATACGGTCTCTCTGCAGAAGTAAGTCCTATAGACCAAGACGGTGATTTAGCTGGGTGGGGGGTCTACAACTTAGGGTCCCAAAAGGGAGTAACTGGAGCCAAGGAGAGAAGCAGGTCCTCCTGCAGCCTCAAATGGCATGTGCAGGCAGCTACCTTACAGCACTGCTGCATATAATTGTACCCTGTAATTGAGTCTGATCTGGGCAAGAGGGCCCTGGAATGCCACCCTGCCGGTCTGTCTTCATTAGTTGTTAATTGGTCTGTTTGCCCGGTGCTATCTCAGCGGTGGGGCAAAGACTTCCCCAGCCAGAGCCCCTCCACCAGCTTCTCTAAGCAGCCCTCCTGGCACTCTGGGGAGGACCCACCCCTCCGTAGCTTCCTAATGGGTAACTCAGCCTACTCGTCCTCAGTCTTCCTCCTGCCAGAGCTGGGGGTGCAGGAAGAGCCAAGGACACCTGACCACTGCAATGCCGCCTGACCCTGTGTGAGCCACAGTCCCTCTCTGAGCCTTCAATTTCTCTTCTGGAAAATGAGAACTAAGATAATTCCTGTACACTCTACCACCTCCCCCATTTCAGGGAAGAGCAGGTAATGTGGAAGAAACAAAGGCCAACTTGAGAGCACAGAGAATACATCCCCCAGGCTGGCAGGAGAGTGAGGGGGTGGGTGGGTGTCGTCAGCCATTTTCTCTCACCCAGTGACCCTGATTCACCTCCACCCACTGGGAAGCCAGCAAAGGCATTGTTACAATCCTGCCGCCTGAGGTTCCAGAGGAGAGGAGCGTGGAGCCCAGAAGGGCCCTGGTTGAGCGATGGAGCCCTTCGGATGTGCTGAGCAAAGGCCACCAATCACAGAAGGCTCCAGCCGCCCTGGAAGCAGAGCTGGTGCAACCTTTCCACTGGTGAACCCTCCCCAGGTGCTCTCAGCACCTTGCCAATCTGTAACCCTGTTTCAAGGGCTTTGCCAAAGACACACTTTCAAGTTTGGATACAAAGAAAGAAGAGAAAGAAACATGCCCCTTGCCCAGGCCAAGATTAATTTCTCCAGGTCCCTGCATCCCCGTCTCACCTAAGATGTCATGAAGCCCCTTCCACCTGTGTAAGCACAGCGATTTCTGGGGCTGGGAACTAGCACTTGAACATTCCACGCTCCCCGACACATGAGCGTCTCGTGAAGTAAAGCAGTGCCTCTGAGTCCCACCTTAGACATGAGAGTCCCAGCGCCATGCCCTTGGCAGGATAAGGCTCAGACAGTTCCCTGAAGGAGCCTCTGGCTGGTCAAGTGCTTTCTGAGGGCAGGACAGAGGGAGAAGGAGACAGCCTCAGGTGATGGCAGGAGGAGCGATGAAGAGGGCCAAAGAGGAAGAGGGAGGCATGTGCACCAAAGACACTCCCTCCCCTGCCATGGCTGGGTCCTGAGGTTTGATCCCTGCCCACCTTCCAGAAAACACAGTGGCCTGTGTGCCCTTCCTAGGATATTGGCAGCAGGCAAGGAAGCTGGAAACCTCTCGAGCCTGAAAACCATTACTAGTCCCTTTGGATCTTTGCCCAAACCAGGGTTTCTTGTGGACCTCCAGTGCCACCCGCCTTTCATCTGTATGAACACCTAGGAACTGGACTTGCATCTGGAAAGAGTCCCTTTTACTTCCATGCTGTTTTGTTTGCCTCCACCAATGGAGGCAGGAAAATTATCCTCCTCCCAAACAAAGCCCCATCCAGGGTATTGGTCCCACTGTGCGATGCCTTCCATGGGCCTGGCACTGTACTAGGGGCTTTGGAGAGGACACAAGATGGCACTGGGAATGTTCCCTGCCCTCAAGGGGCTTACAATCTACTTTGGAAACACTTAAATAATGATGCAGAGCAGCTTATAATTAAGCACTTAATTATTTGTTTCTGGCTGTAAGAATACCTGGAGATCACGTGGACTTAGGGATAGTCCCAGCTCTTCCTAGGATCCCCTTCCCTCCGTGACACATGTCCTCAGCCAAGGAGGGTGCAAAGGTATCTTACGGCAAGGCAAAGAAATCTGTACTCCAGTCTCTAGCTAGTGATTTGACTTTTGGGCATATCAACTAACCTCTCTGAGCCTCAGTTGCCTCATCTAGGAAATAAGGGGTTGGACCTAGGTAATCTACAAATTATATATATATATATATATATATATATATATATATATATATATGGCCCTGAGGCTACAAGGAGCAGGTGGGGAATGGGCTGGGCCCTGGAGAAAGAGGAGATTTGAATCCTTGAGTGAAGGAGAGAAAAAGCTCTGGGCTGGAAAACCACAGATGCAAAGATGGAAAAAGGATGCAAAGATGGAAAAAGGGAAAAAAAAAAGTGAGCAGGAGCACCCCTTGGGAGAGAGCAGTGATGGTGATGAAAGGAGAAAACAGTGGAAGGCGGCGGAGGTTCTTTAAAGCCAGGCAAAGGTGTGAACTTGATGGGTACCATGGACAGCCATTAGATATTGCCCATGGGAGAAGTAACACACACAAGCACTCCTTAGAGCTGACTAACCTGGAGTGGTGGGCAGAACTGACCAGAGCGAGAGGACAGGAGGCACCAGGGGCATGGAGATGTGTGGCGTGGACAAGCCCAGGGGTGACTGCAAAAGCAGAAGCAGCCCTTGGACAACGTTGGAACTCCAAAGGCCTGGTGCTCTCTGAAGCACCTGCACAGAGCTTCGGGGACTCTTGGGGCCCTGGGCTGGACCAGCCCTCAGGAGGCCAGGGCAGGAAGCCCTGCCAATGAGCACAGGCCCTGGGACTTGCCTTGGTCTAGTCTTCTTTCCACAGGAAGGTATCTGTGGAGAGAGTGGGGTATGAGTGGTATACCCAGCCACTGTGTCCTCTGGATGAGCAGGCAGGAACAGCTTCTAGAGATTGGAGGGGAAAGGTCAGTATGCAGTGGTCAGGAAGAGAGGGCATCCGTGGAGGATGGTTAACTTGACCCTGTTGGGTCACTTCCCTCCCTGGGACTGAGGTGTGAGTGACAGGTTTAGGATGAGAAGGGAGTGTGAGATTATTCTAGTTGAACTTGTATGACTAGGGGGATGGAGGCATTGTTCAGATGCAGGGGCTTCCTCTTTCTTCTGTGACCCCAGGACAACATACATGGGGTCAGCAAGTGGGAGATGTTGACACCCACACTCTCGTGTGAACTTGGACAAGCCACCTCTCATCCCTGGGCCTCGATTTCTACATCAAGATAAAGGGTGGGATTAATTGGTCTACCACTGATGACCCTGAACAGATTTGCTCCCAGCTTACTGAGCTCTTCCCACATCCGAGTTCTGCCAGACAGATGCAGGGAGCAGGTGATCAGGCTTGGCTCGCCCAGCCACCCCCACACACTTCCGGGTGGAGGCCTTCAGTCAGACACTGGGCCACCAGGACCACAACAAGGGCCCTGGAAGGGGATTCGGAACAACCTCGCTTCCGGTTTATGGCATCCTGCCTTTCCACCCCACTCCTGCCTGTACACAGCTCCTTCCTGTCCACACCATTCTCCCCACCACACGTGGCATGAATGTTCTCCACATTCATTCCAAGAATGCTAGGAGCCGTGTGTTCGGGGCACGGTTGTCGGAGCTGTGGGCACAGAAGTGAGGCACGTGGACCAAGTCCCTGCTCCCATGGGTGTATGAGTCACCTGGGATAGCTCACAAAGAGAGAACAGGGGGATATTCATGCAGCTCGAGAACGACCACATCCCAAAGGGAGGAGAATGCCAATGCTCACAGACTCTGAACTGGTGTCCTATGACAAGCGCTGGACCAGTCTCACTGACATTTGTCCCAAAAGCCACAGTTCACCTTCCCAAATTGGTAGCGGCATTACCTCGGGCCTGTAATATACTGGAGTTGCCCCCTCTGCTTCCAGGTTAACTCCCCTCCCCCAGCTCTAATCCCCAACCTCCTGTCCTCCCACCCAAAGCCCTGAATCTGGCCTCTGGCCTCCTCCATGAGTCACGTCGGTTTCTCTGCGCATCTTCCTCACAGCAGCTTTGGACCTGGCATCTGGACTTCTAGATTCTAGGGGAAACAACTTGATGCACTGAGGGGGACATGTCTGAAGAGGGCCCACACACAGAGCTTTCCTTTGAACCTCACACCGCACACCCTGCCATACCACGTACTTCCAGAGTGTCCATTAACGCCTGCTTTTTTTTAATTCCCATCAACCTGCCCACTGCTCTCACCCAACAACTGATTTGCCTCCGCCTGCCAACCTGGCCATACCATTTCTCCCCATCCCCAAACCTGGAGCACCTTGCCCAACTTCAGAACATCAATCCTGCTTTTCACCTCCATGACACCTCTCAAAATTACCCCAGCAGGCCGTCTTTTCTCAGTTGACCCTATCCACCCCTCCTACTCCTCTCAGACGCTCGCATAACGTTTTGTTGTACTGCCTTAGTCATCTGCTTTTATCTCTTTTGTGTTACTCAATCATTTTTCACTTGCATGGGCCTTGCTTTCACCTCAAGACTGTAAATTCCTCGGGGAACGAGATCACCTCTGTCTTACGTTTCCCTTTTACCGCCTGTCCCTGTGCTCAGCCCACTTCGGACTTTCAGTCAATGAGTGGCTTGTGTATGGGACGCACCCACGTATGCACATTCGCGAGGCCCCACACGCTGCTCATTCTCACACCCCCACGTTCATAAACACACCTCACTGTCAACTTCCTTTAACACCTGAAAAGACAGTCGCCTCTGTAAGCACCGTGCCCACAAAGGACAATTTCAGCATCCACATCCTACCCGTCCCAACAGTGGGCAGGCAGGCCAGTTTACATACCCAGCCTCCTGAAC